GAAGTTTCAACGCATTTGACTGAGGGCAATTTTCCATAAGAACCGTGCGGGGTCCTTTTTCACATTGGGCACAGGAAAAAACATGAGATAATTAAGAGGATTACATTAAAGCTCATTTGAAGGGAGAAAATGTCTGAATTTGTGAAAAAAAAAGTTAACAAACAATTCAGAGCGGACACAAATTAAAATTTACATAAAAATTAGAGAATTTAACAAATTTACACAAGAATAACATGGGCTGATTAGCGACGAGCGTAGAGACTGACTGACGAGCTGAGTGAAGAGGCTGACTCAATCAGTTTTCGAAATGCTAATCCATTGATGTTTGAGCGGGGGATGATGACCTAATTTTGAGCCGAGGCGAGGGGTGTGGATGGGGTGCACGTGCACTGTAGAAAGCAGTTCCAGTCAGGGGATGCGGGGGTGGACGATGCACTGGCCGCGGCTCAGGTCATTCATCGCTCGAAGTGGCCCAAAACAAAGGAAGAAAGTGACGGAGCGGCCTGGAGGGTTGCGACTCGGCGTGCGGCGCGGCGTGACAGGAAGAAAGTCATAAAACCAGCCAAGGCTGCGCAAGGTTCATCCCTTAGCGGGTATTTTCTCCCGAACGAGACGGATCAGCTGTTCATGCTGAGTTAAAATGGGAACGTTTAACCTGTAGAAATAACACTAAAATACTTCTATTTACACACATTTAAACGAAAAATTTACAACAATGAAGAGGCCCAAATCTCAATCGACGGGAAGGCGAAAGAGTTTCACGAGCGGCCGACGCAATGTGTTGGCCGTTGTTTTCACTGACGCAACACGAACAATGCCGTCTTTGCCTGGATGCAGCTCGATGACTCGTCCCATCTGCCATTGCAAGGACGGTGCATTTTCATCCTTGATGAGGACTAAGTCACCAACAGCGAGAGTTTCAGCCGCTTGAGTCCGCCACTTAGCACGCTGTTGCAGAGTATTCAGGTACTCCAATGACCACTGTTTCCAGTACTGCTGTGAAATTCGCTGTAAAAGTTGCCATCTGGAGAGGCGGTTTGAAGGAGTGGACGACGAATCATACTCTGGCAGACTCAGGAGCGGGCCGCCGATGAGGAAGTGAGCGGGCGTAAGTACATTGAGGTCCTCCACATCAGAGGAAATGGGGCAGAGAGGCCTAGAATTGAGAATCGCTTCAATTCTTGTTAGGAGCGTAGTGAATTCCTCAAACGTCAATTTTTGATCACCTAATATTCTTTTTAGGTGGAATTTCACTGATTTGATGCCAGCCTCCCAAATGCCACCAAAATGGCTGCCAGTGGGTGGCGAGAAGTGCCATTTGATGTTTTTCAAAGTTAAATGTTTTGTGACCATTTCATTTGACTTGTCTTCACGCAAAAATTCATAAAGCTCATCCAAATAATTGTTTGTGCCCTTGAAATTCGATCCATTATCCGAGTAAATTTCAGTGCACATGCCTCTGCGCGATGTGAATCTCTCCAACGCGGCGATGAATGCTTCCGTAGTAAGATCGGAGACGAGCTCTAAGTGAATTGCTTTCGTTGCCAAACAAATGAATAAGCAGATGTAGGCCTTATGAGAAGGTGCATTTCGTCGCTTAGAGTCTTTGATCAAATACGGACCACCAAAATCTGCTCCAACTTTCAGGAAGCAGCGCGCGGCAGGGACGACGCGGGACTCTGGAAGTTGCCCCATTTGCGGCGCAACATTTCTGGGAGCGGCTCGGAAACAAATAATACACTTATGAAGTTGAGCTTTAATCGCATAACGAGCTGAAAGAATCCAATAACTTTGGGATATGATGCTTTGCAGTAAGCGAGGTCCGGCGTGAAGATTTTGACGGTGAAAAAAGTCGATGATCAATTTGGTCAGATGAGCGTTTTTCGGCAAAATTGCCGGATGCTTGGCGGCCATCGGCAAATTGGATTTATCGAGTCTACCCCCCACCCTAAGCACTCCTAGGGGATCAATGAAGGGGTTCAAACTTAGAATTTGATTGCTGACCGTTTTTCCGCTGCGTAGTGCTTGAATGTCTAGAGCAAAATTTTGAAGTTGAACCAATTTTAAAATTGTCAGCATAGAGGAGTTAACTTCTTCAATTGAAAGTTCTCCTTGAGCAATTTTCGTGGCTGAATTTTTCTTCTTTTGATCAATTTGAGACGAAACGAAAACACCAGGCAATTGAGTTGCGGAGTCGAGTCAGGCTTGAAAAACGGCTTAAAGTATCCGTAGTTTGGGCAATAAAGGCTTTTTTGACATTTTTAAGCTCAGGGATAGCCTTTAATTTTATCTTTTCGATTGGAGTAATTTTCCAAGATTGTTCAGGTCCAGAGAGCCAGTTAGGGCCTTTCCACCATAGAGGATTATTTACGAGGTTTTGCGGCAAAACTGGTCTGGATGCCAGATCGCTGGGATTCTCATCACCTGGTACATGGTACCAAAGATCCGGGGACAATTTTTCAGTAATTGAAACCACTCGATTTGCGATGTAAGTAGACAGTTTGTACGGAGGCGTGGTGATCCAACTCAACGTCGTGGTTGAGTCCGTAAGTGCTACAATTTTTTCAACGCGATATTTCGAAGGTTCAAGGGCTTTAAGTGTGCTCGCGAAAGTTTTAGCTAAAAGGTTAGCGCCACTTAGTTCTAGACGAGGCACACTTAGTGGCTTGACAGGAGCCACCTTGGATTTTGCGATTAAAAGATTCACATTAAATTTTTCGTCATTTTCAGAGCGTACGTAGATCGTGGCACCATATCCTTGCTCAGATCCATCTGAAAATCCAATCAATGTGATCATTTTTGACTTAGAGGGGAAAATCCATCTCGGAATTTTCAAATAAGTTAAGAGGTGCAATTGACTCAAAACTTTTGACCACATTTTACTAATTTCTGGCGGGGCGGGGTCGTCCCAATCTGCACCGACAATCTACAATTGTTGAATGATTATTTTTGCACATAAAGCTACAGGAGTAATGTAACCTAAGGGATCAAATATTCTTGCGATATCTGAGAGTATGCCTCTTTTCGTGAGTTTGCCACATAAATTCACTTCATTGCAAGAAAATGTGTCAGAAGAAGGATGCCATTTTACGCCTACCACTCCGTGGGTGCTTTCAGCGTCATTGTGAAATTCCAGCGGTATGGCCATATCCCCATTTTCTAAACCTTCCAAAACTTCAGCGTGACTGCTGCTCCATTTTTTCACAGGAAAGCCTCCTTTTTCACAGCACTTAGTGATTTCAACTCGCAGATTCACAGTTTCTTCGACTGTGTCATGACCAGTGAAAATGTCATCGGTGTAAACAGCGTCATCCAACACTTTGCAGGCTTCTGGAAATTCTTGCCTTTCGTTTATTGAATGTTGTTTCATTGTGCGATGCGCTAAATACGGAGCTGGGCCGGTACCATAAGTGACAGTACTCAGCTCAAAATCTTTTGGAGGGGAAGTTTCGTCATCTCGCCAAAGTATGTGTTGATATTGCCTATCTTCTGGGCCTGGGCGTATCAAGATTTGGCGGAACATCTTACAAATATCACCAGTAAGGGCAACTCTATGCGTGCGAAATCTGATCAAAAGGTGGACGATATCTGCTTGCAATTTTGGACCTGTGTGCAAATTTTCATTAAGACTGATCCCGTTGCTAGCTTTCATAGAGGCGTCAAAAACGACACGAACGCGCGTCGATAGTGCATTTTCGCGCACCACTGCATGATGCGGAATGTAATAGCGGGCTTCCGTACTGCTGGGGGCTAACTGCATGTGTCCAAGCTGCTCATATTCATTCATAAATTCCTTGTAAGCGTGTTTCAGCTCAGGTTGCTTGTGAAGTTTTCTTTCCACAGATTTCAAACGCTTTTCGGGTAATGCGCGTGAATTTGGCAACACCGGATTAGGATTTTTCAGGAGGAGCGGAACCACGTAACGGCCATCAGGTTGGCGATAGTGAAGTTTTTCAAATTGTTGTTCACAAAAGATGTCATCGGGACTCATCACATGATGTTTCTGTGGCTCCTCTGTTTCCCAAAATTTCTTAAAATCTGCGCTGAGTGGCAGACCATCGATGGACAAAAAGCTTTTCTGCTTTTGCCTTTTCGGTTTTTTCGATGTGCTCACTCGGCCGATAATTATCCAACCATAAATGCTCTGTAGGGCGCAGCCATTTCTCTCGGTCAATCTTCGTTCCCCCGTGAGAATATAGGGAAAAAGATCAGCTCCTAAAATCATGTCAATTTCGCCGACTTGGTCAAAAGCTGGATCCGCGAGTTCAAGCTGACTCCAAAATTTTCGAACTTCGGGCGTGACAGGTTGAGTAGGAATTAAGTCTGTGATTGTAGAGAGAACGGTGGCACGAGCATGGAGTATCGGCTCGGAATTTTGACGAGGTTTCAGCGTGCATTTCACTTCGCCGAGAGGTTTTACCGCTTGATTACCGATACCTGAAATTTCAGCGTCGGTTGCATACATTGGTAATTGAAGGCGCTTAACGCACTCATAACTGATGAAACATGACATAGCGCCACTGTCTGCGATTGCTCGCACAGGTTTATACGAGTTATCAGGGCACTTAACGTTGAGAAGCACAGTACCAAGGAGAGAAGTGAAATTTCGAGACGGCAGAGTGTCAAACTCTGAGGAAAGATGCACTTTAATGTTCTCCGGGGGCGAATTAGAATTGGATGCTCCATCGACGTTTTTCCGTTGATTTGAACACAGTAGGCTATGATGCTGTTGTTTGCAAAATCGACAGGAATATTCGCTAGCGCAGGCAGCAGTTTCGTGCTTTTTAGATAAGCAGTTGGTACACCTGCGTAATTCGATTACTTTGCTTTTTCGCGCGCTTGGAGAAAGGCGCTTAAATTTATTGCATTTGTACAGGCCGTGATTCCCAGAGCACAATTCACAAGTATTTGTAGACTCAACTATTTCACTGTTGAGAAAAACCTTGTGGGAACTATTGTGCGATTTTGACGGATTTGATGTTGAGTTGGTACCCCTGGAAACTTGTGAATCCTTCGCCTGAGCCTTGTTGCTGGAAGAATCCATGGAAGAGCTTTCGATCTGCAGACACTCTTTTTCGAGAAAGTCGAGAATGCTCTCAAGTTTAGGGTATTTTACATCTGCACCGCGATAGCCATCGAAGCGTTTTCTGAAATAAAACGACATCTTGGCGGTGATCACAGCTGTCAGCATGGATGAATAATCTTGAAGTTTGTGATCCAATCCTTTAAGTGCTTGCGTATGTTCACGCACTTTCGTGAGGAAGTTCGGAATGTGTTTCAAATCCTTAATTTCTGGCAGTCCCAAAAGTCCATTGTAGTGGTAGTAAATATGACGACGTTCACACTGATAGCGTTGACACAAAAGTTTCCACGCTACGTCATAATTTGTTTCGGTTATGTCAAGACCTTTGACTAGGTCCCGAGCGCTACCTTCAAGGGAGCTTAAGAGATATTGAAATTTCCTCACTGTGGGCAACTCTTTCTCGTTATGCACCGAAGCTGCAAAGAGATTGTAGAAGGAGCGCCAATCTTCTAATTTACCCGAAAAACGCGGCAAAGGCAATTTCGGGAGTTGGATTCGGCCGCGCGAGGCTCCGCTGGATGCGGAGGAGTCATGGCTCACGGTCTCGGCGATTTTCGGACAGCACGAGAGATACAGCGTTTCCGCAGAGTGTATCATGCTGTCGAATTTTCCTTGAGTTCTTTTGAACTCAATTTGAGTGTCATCTGGGAGCGAAGCGTTTAAGCTGAGGATTTCCGCCTGAAGCTCATCAAATTGTTCTTGATAAGTTGAAAGTCTTTCGTAGAAAATCTTGAATTGACTTGAGTTTTCTGCTGAGAGATCCTTCTCAAAGGTCTTCAAAATTGTTTCCACGCGATTGTAGACGGTGTTTCTTTTCGCTGTAAGAACGTTTGCGGCATTTAAGTTGGAAGGCGCACTTCCAAACTCGTCTTCCAGATTGACGATATCGTCATTGTTTAAACTTTTTCGGTTCTTTTTTGATAATTTAGGCATTTTGGATTTGAGGAACTCAAAAAATGTTTAAGCAACTTGAAAATTAGATTGCTGTTATTTCAATCAACAAATCTAAGGACATTAAATTAAAAAATGAGACTAGTAACACCTAAGGACTGGTGTCTCATTTATTTTAATTAAGGATACGGCCCGAGGGACCAAAATGGGCGGGAGCGCGAGGGACCAGCTGAAAAATAGGAGCTGTGACTAGAACCAAGATATGTAAGATTCCTTCAGAAAGTCGATTTGCCGCTACGAGCCCACGACATGGATCATCATCAGGAGATCTTAATCTTAAAGTTCTAATCTTTATTTCTCAACAATGTGTACACTTTACACAGGGAAAATACACGACAAATACATACATAGGGCTATCACACTTCAATCCTTATGTCCGGGGGAAAGACGTTAAGGGACAGGTGAGGGTTGGAGGCGCAGCATTAGTCGTGCGTGCACATAGGAGGAGATGCGCTGCAGTATACGTGCGAGCACAAGGACAGGGTGCTGCAGTACACGTGCGAGCACAAGGATAGGAAGCTGCAGTAGACGTGCGAGCAAGGGCGTGTGCAGCAGTAAACGTGCGTGCACGGGATGGAAAGGATGGGTTTGAGAGCTTCGACTAGGGCGCGACGAGGGCAAAGTCGAGAGCGTCTGAATTCACTAGAGAACTGGCCGAACCCCTATCTTTTCAAAACGTAGAAAAAACAAGGGAACGGGCATGTAAATGAGACCCCGAACTCTGGTGGTCAGGGATGAAAAGCTGGAGGGATCCCTCTCGTCGGCGCACAGTCGGTTCCCTGCGCGGGGGCGGAGAAAGCGCGCGGTTGAGGCGTGGACGGTGGAACAAGGGAGAGCCACAGTGGGCTCGAACATTTGGTTTATAATACCTTTCAAGATACATAAAAAATACCTATTCAAATACCTATCAAATAGGGTATTAAATAGCTGAAAATAGGTATAAAATACCATATTAAAATATCCTATGAAGTGTCCTTTTTTAAAAGTATTAAATACCATATAAAATCGGTATATAATAGGGTAGTATTAAATACCACATTAGATGGGTATACTTACAATGGGGTAGATGCCCCAAATGATGGGGTACCATTTTAAATGTGTAAAAAGTAGGTTTCTAGGTGGCCTGTACAAAAGATAGCATACCCATGCAATACTTATAAAAATTGTTTATTTTTTACACATGAATACAAAGAACAAATGAATACAATACCAAAGGCTTAGAATACATCCTAGTAAAGAGATGAAGAAAATAAAAAAATAATCAGGAATTTGTAAATAATAATACAGATCAACATCCTGACATAAGAGATTCCAGAATCAAGACATAAGAGAAAAGGAAAATGATGATTACTCAAGAGAATCAATTCGATCCACGAGTCTTTATTTATTCTTTGGATCAATGTAAAAAAACTGCTTTTGGGTAGTTCATTAAGACAAGACAACGAAAAAAAAAAATATAAATGTCTCATTTAATTAAAGGAATCAATGCGTAAAGTAATCTGAATGGAATTTCTGATCATTTGGCCATAGTTTGGTAGCGAGCAATCAGCTGTGACTTACATGTGAAGAACCCATACTGGTGCCTTTCGACTCAATCTCGTCACATGGCATTCTTATCATCAAGTTACTGTCGAAAATTCAAGGTTCAATAGCGTATAGCAACCAACCATGGCCCAAATTTCCAGAGAAGCAAGTGTCCCCATGGAAATGAAGCGTCCCCATGGAGGCACGTGATATTTGGGCCATGCAAACGTGCTCAATTAAAGTTTAGAAAATGAACAACATAACACTTACCAACTTGCTCAAATCCGTAATCTATTGGGTCAGGAAAATCCACTTAACAATGAATCCGAACAATTAGAACTGGTATAAGTACCGAGGAACACTTGAAGCACTATGGGTGTATTGTAGAAAAATCTAAAGCACTCTTTAAAGTAAGAGAAAAATTAGCACCATGATCTAATAGCTGATCAAAACAGCAGCCTGATTGTTGATATTTTGTGTTTGTCGGGTAGACGTACATGACATAGGTAAGAAGGCGGAGCAAGATTGGTCGGCTATGGCTTATCGCTGCTTTATCATGCCTTTATCAGGTTGAATGGACGACATATGGTTGAAAACTGAAGAGGTGCCTTTAGCTTGTCGTGAGTTCCACCCGACATAGGCACAACAAAGCAGCGATAAAATATAGCCGACCAATCACGCTCCGCCTTTTAACCTATGTCTACCCAACAGACACAAAATGTCAACAATCAGGCTGCAGAACAGCACTCTCAGAAAAGCACTGACAAAACGCCATTTTTCAGTTTATTTTTAGAGAAGAAAAATGCATTTTTCAAAAGATGCGACATCATCCCTCGACACCGATAAAAATGAAGCTTAAATAATTTAACGATTTAATCCGATCATTGATGATCTTAAGGTAGCCATCGATTCTCTACCCGACGTTCCTTCCACGCATGACAGGGAATGTCGAGAGGCACAGAGCGAATGGTGAAGCGGCTAAAACTCTAGGGGCCAGAGGGGATACCCTAAAGTTTAGCCAAAAACTTATGTTCCTCTGCTGTAAGGAGAAACATGGGGGGGGGGCGAATTTCCACCACTTGAGGTATAGGAAATGAGGCCTCAAGTCCTCAATGATGACTTATTGGTAGAGCTATAACAACACACGCTAATATCAAGGATATTCTGATGCAATAGGATGTTCTATCAAACCTGTCCCATGGACTTTGTTAATCTTTTCGTTGCTCGTCTGATCAGCACTGATTTCATGAGAGATGGGGAGAAGTAGTCCAAATCAAAACGTGCCGGGTTTTAGGGTGCCACTCCCTTTAATTACACCAGTTGATGTTAAATGATGAAATATACACAGGAACCACGCAAACAACACTGATCAAACACCGTAACGTAATTCCACCGGAGACACCTCGGATCGGTCAAACTATTTCGGACAAATCTACAACGTTTACGGAAAATTACAAAAACAAATAACTCCGCATAACGCTCACTCTAAAAACCGGAAATAAAAGAATAAATACAATTTTAAAATAAAGAAAAAGAAAGGGGGGGGGGTTTGAGCCGAAAACTCTCGGGGCCAACTGGGGGGCAACGGGGCTGTACCGCGTGTTGCTTACCGCGAGCAGTGTGGTCACCGCGTTGAAAGAAGACTGATTTCATAGATACTCCTTAGGAGCGTCTTACCCTCAGTTTCGTACGATTTGAGCGGAAAATCTAGTGAAATCAGCAATTCCCGTGCTCTAAACAAGACTACGGGATGTCCAGCAAACAGGGTCCCCGCACCGCTGCCACGCACCTTCTAGAGAACCGCCAAAACTATTATGAGTCTTAGACCATCCCGTTGGCTCCCGCAGGGTATGGCAACCGCGCAGTGGTCTACTGCATCGTGACATCATGCTCTTAGGATGTTCTCCAACGCGAAAAACACCCTATCTCACGTGTAGTGCGCTGATCGCATCCGGACCAGTCGTCGTTCATACGCTGAAACTGCAGTTTACGGCAACAGGGCCTGATGAGAGAAGCGCAGGACTTCACGAACTCCTGGATATCGCAAACCAGCCTTTCAACTTGTCAAGATACTTGCCATCTATTGAAGTTAGCAGACAAATTTAAAATCCCCCAAGAGGGACTCCGAACTCACTGCACGCCTCCAAAACATGGCGCTATCGCGAAAGGACCCTACAACAAAACGGCCAAATCGGCCTAAACACGGAATCGCACGATTTTCTCAGGGATGATAGAGGGTCTTCCCAGACACTCAAAACTGGTCATATTTTTTGCCTAACCCCCAGGGAAAAGGGGGGAGAGGGGGTCAAAGTCAAAACCTTTAAATTAGCATAACTTCTCAACGGTTTGTCGTAGAAAGATGATCTTGGTGTCAAAATTTCCAGAAAAATGAGAGCTTTCAGAAAGTATGTATGAAATTAATAAAATTTTAAATTTTGACCCACTTTTGGGGCATTTTACAAGGTCCCCCTTTCGTAAATTTTCGTTTTTTGAGATTTTCGGTTGTTCGGTTCGCACGGATTAAAACAAAAACAATTTCAAATGAAAGTAGAGTGTTTAAGCTTTAAAACAAGCCCAAGATGATCTTGGGGAAACGATTAGAAGCGGAGTTATGAGTCTTCAAAGTTGACGTGGCGCGCGGGAACCTCGTATGTTCCGAGTCTCAAGGTCACCTGCGCGCCCCGGATTACCTGCAGGTTGCAAGTTTTTGTGTTTTTATGCTTCTGTAGGTCATTTTTAATGTAAATCATTCAATGAAGATAGAATAATCGATTTTTTTTAATTTTACGGGAGGAGCGAGAGGGGGCTTAGAGTATGAACCATTATATCCATCATACCTCATTAAACATTTGCTGACAATGACGATTCTGCTCTTATAATTTAGAAGAAACCATGGACCCTCAGTTCAAATATACATATGCTCCATACAGAACTGAACCATTTAGAAATTATAACCCATTGATGCCAAATTTTGTGGTACCCGTAATTTTAAAATTTTTTAAGAAATTGAGCTATAAGCTACAGCGCTTGACGGAACTCACTTGGTAAAGCCAAATAGTTTCTGGTAGAAGCAGACGAGCTTTGAGCTTCAAAACAAGTCTCAGTTATTCTTGAGGGGGCTATTTGAAACGCAGTTAAAATTTTTTGACGTTAATGTGGTGTACCTCGCCGAAGGCCCGTTGTGTAAAACTAAAAAATTCTGATTAAACTATCTTCATTGAAGATTTACATTAAAAATGACCTACAGAAGCATAAAAACACAAAAACTTGCAACCTGCAGGTAATCCGGGGCGCGCAGGTGACCTTGAGACTCGGAACATACAAGGTTCCCGCGCGCCGCGTCAACTTTGAAGACTCATAACTCCGCTTCTAATCGTTTCCCCAAGATCATCTTGGGCTTGTTTTAAAGCTTAAACGCTCTACTTTCATTTGAAATTGTTTTTGTTTTAATCCGTGCGAACCGAATAACCGAAAATCTCAAAAAACGAAAATTTACAAAAGGGGGACCTTGTAAAATGCCCCAAAAGTGGGTCAAAATTTAAAATTTTATTAATTTCATTCATACATTCTGAAAGCTCTCATTTTTCTGGAAATTTTGACACCAAGATCATCTTTCTACGACAAACCGTTGAGAAGTTATGCTAATTTAAAGGTTTTGACTTTGACCCCCTCTCCCCCCTTTTCCCTGGGGGTTAGGCAAAAAATATGACCAGTTTTGAGTGTCTGGGAAGACCCTCTATCATCCCTGAGAAAATCGTGCGATTCCGTGTTTAGGCCGATTTGGCCGTTTTGTTGTAGGGTCCTTTCGCGATAGCGCCATGTTTTGGAGGCGTGCAGTGAGTTCGGAGTCCCTCTTGGGGGATTTTAAATTTGTCTGCTAACTTCAATAGATGGCAAGTATCTTGACAAGTTGAAAGTAGAGTAAGAGAGAAGAGAAAGAGTACTTGACTTCAAGCATTACCTTTGATTTGATTATCAGCAAGTCTCTTTGATTCTGCGTCAGAAGTTGATTGAATCATCTTTGCTCGTGTTTTGATAATATACTTAAAATCAAAGTCTTTCGCATTGACCTCTGCAGAAGGTATGTATCCATTCTATTTCATTAGTTTGCAAAAGTAAATTGTATTAAAGTATCTAAACAAATAAATAAATCATAGATAAACAAAGAACATTGCATGGAATAACATACTATAGAGGTACGATCAAGACCAATCCACACAGGTCAGTCATTCCCGTGGACGAGTTTTGGTACTCTACTGCGCAGTGACGTACTATTGAGTGCTTGCAATGTATTTCTTATGGGAGCACCCATTGTGACGTACTATTGAGTGCAGCTGAGTTAGGGCCGGGCGGGGAAGTGGCTTTCAAAAAGATACGCAATGACTGACCTGTGTGGATTGGTCTTGGGTACGATCGTGGACCGTTGTGGCGTTAGTTCACCGCCCCCTCTGCCAGGTTCGCTGCAAGCGCGCGGTAACGGTTTTTAACGATTATGTAGCATCGCGTCCAAGATATTGGACTCCATGCTCATCCTTGATATACTTACCTGCTCATCTCGTCCAAGATCTTGGACTCCATGCTCATTGCTAAACGTCTCACTTCTTTGCTTGAGCATGGAGTCCAAAAGCACGTAGACCTCCCTTAGTTTTAAAGTTCATCATGATAGAAAATCGTATACTTCGCTTACCTAATCTAACCTGAACTAACCTAACCTAACCTAACCTAACCTAACCTAACCTAACCCAACCTAAGCAATGCACAATTTTTTTCGAGAACACATTTTTTTGTCTTTATTTCACCAAAATTGTCTTAATAAATTTTTGGACCCCATGCTCCTATATTGTCAGAGAATACCTGAGTCCCACAATTTTGGACGCTATGCTCACTTCGATTTTTCGAAAAAATTATCCCTAATAAAAGTGAGCATGGAGTCCAAGATCTTGGACGTGATGAGCAACCGAATATCATATAGCTGAGCATGGAGTCCAATATCATGGACGCGATGCTACATTACCTTTTTAACACAGGTTTCAATAGGGAGTTGGGAGTCCTTATTTATTCTTTTGGTCCATGACTAAGCAGCGATGTACCAAAGCTCTTGCGGCCATTTCCTATGGAAAATGGGACAACATCTTTAAAAAAAAGCAAGTGCTCGAGTTCCGTTCATTATTGTACGCATACAAGATTTCATGAAAAATATAAAATTTACATCATTAGCTTTGCCTTGACTTCTTTTGTCGATTTATAGAATTAAAATTGAAATACAATGTTTTTAAAATTTTACAAATAACGGAAAATATCCCAAAATAACATAATTGCCGCAGCGCTCCCCATTGGCGCGTCGTGGTACTCGAACAGACGCCGAGCGTCAGCCGATTTCTTCCTTGGCTCGCCGGCACAGACGCGGCGGCATGCGCGTTCACGACTTTCTTATTGTTTCAATTTATTTATTTACATGAGCTTAAACTTAAAACGCGGGAAAAATTTCTCCTTTACGGGGGGGGGGGGCACCTTTTTTCTCAAATCGTAACCCTTACCTTGTGATACGTCATTCGAAAGAACATTAAAAACTAAGAATTTTGGCGCAAACTAAAGATCATTATCTTAACTTTTGACCGAGTTATGATGTTAAAGGTCAAATTTGACCTATTTTCAAAAAATCATAACTCCGGTTCAAATTATCGTAAAGAAAAAAAACAAAAGGAGAAAATGTGCCAAATTATAATCACTTTTTAAGTAAAATTGACAGAAATCATTCCGAATTAATTTTAAGGGGGACCCCTAAATACGTCAGTCCAACGGTGATTCGATTTTCCCGCGAAATGAGCCAATTTCCCCTAGATTTGCCTCTACATTATCTCGGTAAGTTCAACATTACGTTATTAAGTCCCCGAATTTCGGGGAAAGTTAAAACAAAAAGGAAATTTAAGGTGATTTTTGATAGTTTAAATTTCGTTTTTCTTTTCAACTTATATCGAAATTTGGGGACTTCCTGAGATAATGTTGAAGCGAAGTTAGGGGAAATTGGCTCATTTCGCGGGAAAATCGTATGACCTTTGAACCGTCGTATTTGGGGTCCGAACCCCCCCCCCTCCCCCTTAAAGTCAGTTTGAAGTAATTTCTATGATTTTTTCTCAAAAGTGCTTACAATATGGTAAATTTCCTGGTTTTTTTTTTCCTGTGCGATAATTTGGACCGGAGTTATGATTTTTTGAAAATAGGTCAAAGGTCAAATTTATCATAACTCGGTCAAAAATTAAGATATAGATCTGCGATTTGCGCCAAAATTCTTAGTTTTTTATGTTCTTCCCAATGATTTATCACAAGACAGGGGTTACCATTTGAAAAAAAAAAAATTTGGGGGTTCTCGCGCCCCCCGGAGGGAGGGACAACAATTTTGACCCCCCTAATAGAAGGACCCTTTTACGATAGAAACATTCCCAAAGTTTCGATTTTCGGTCTTCAACCGTTTAAAAGTTACCAGTGAAGGTACGGAGTTTTTGGACACCCTGTATAGATAGAGATAATAATCGTATATGTCTTGCTCAGGAGTTGGTTTCCGAACTTATCCATGTCCTATTTTGAAGAGGAAACAAAACGATTTTTCCCAGTGCAAACCTTGTGTAATATTCTATTACAATCTTGCCAGTAATGCCAAGACTAATTGTAAGTTCCCCGATGTAATAAAGAATAATGTATTCCTGCCTCCTTTCTTTAGGAGTCAAAGCAGTCGTTGATCTGTGTGCTGCGCCTGGAGGATGGAGTCAAGTCCTGAGTCAGCATTTATGGTGAGCTGATTTCTATTCACTCATTAAAATAACGTTTCTTGAACTGTGGTACAATCACCAGTTCCAGCTAGTCCCTGAAAGATGTCAGAAAACATTTTTTCAGCACTTGAAAAGTTTCTCTCTCAAACTTGAGAATGAGTTTGGGACATTGTCCACCAGTTAATCAGGTTTTCGAATTCTGGCAGGTTATATTCACAAATTAGTAACCTCTCACACAAGTTTTGATGGTATCGAAGCTTAGAAACTGAAGTACAAGCCTCTGTAGAAAAGTTGAAGGCTGTAGGAAGTGCGTTGAAGCTACCAACGAATATATATTTTCTCCAAGTTTTGAAATTCTTAATCTTGTTCCATTACAAAGTTTTGGAGGAGCGATGTTTCTCATTAATATGACCGCAGCCCCTTTTTTCAAATTCAATTTATGAGAAGGCACTCCCGGCATGTCTACTGAATTTAAAAATTCCACGGGATATGCCGTGCTTTCTTCAGTGTTTATGACGGAATTTATTGATGAGTATGTTGATGCATGAGCAGGAAGGCGTTCTAAAATTTTGTCATTAATTTCCTTTACAGTTATGTTCTTCGGAGCTAAAATTGCCCGACCATTAAGCCAATCATCAATGAGATAATTTTCAATAAGATTTGGATAAACTTTATCGATCAATTCGTCTTCTGAGTAGAGCATATTAGAAAATATTTTTGAAACATCGATACCTATTTCCATCAGAATCGGTTTCGATGTCACCTTGTCCGATTTGTAACAATTTATTTGAAAAGGACTCGGCATCTTAGTCGTTTTTTAGCACTACTCTCATATTAGTGGTTAAAGATAATTTTACTGCATTCTTCCACAAAAAAGATGATTTTAAGCCTATTTCTCTTGAGCCTCGAATTTTAATCACACCAGTTTGACCTCCATTTTCTGGTGATCTTCGTTTATACAGAGGATAACCGTTTTCATTGTGTTTGGTTTCACTGATGAATAATTTTGGATACTTTTTTGTGCATATTCCATTTTTCATACACGGAGAAATGTTATTATTTAATAGTTCCACTGAAACCATGTATCATATTTTTCAATATAATATCACGGAGTTCTCTATCATAGTTTGAATCTGGTATCTCTGCACCAACGAGTGAATCGATTTGATCTGGGCGTATTTTATTTTTTAACCAGACTAAAAGATGAATATGAGGAAGACCTCTTTTTTGCCACTAGTGGGGCCGATAAGCGTAACAATCGTGCACTTCTTGAAGAAAGCATGAAAATTTCAGGGATTCATCTCTACCCTATAGACATTCGATTCAGACACAGACCCCAAAAATCTGGGCCCCCTGGGGGGGTAGGGGGGCCCCCAAATTTTGAATTTTGAATAACTACGGAACGGCTAATGTTAGCGTAATTTTTTTACAACAGAACGATGGGAAATTTTATTAGGAACAAAACTGATTCTTATGAATTTTTCCGTGGGATCGATATTTTAGGCGTGAAACGGGAAAAACCATCGGGGGACGGGGAGCCGGCCGTTCTGAGGCAGATCCGCGCGCTGCGCTGCCTGCCCGTGACGCGCGCGGCGGCGCGGTACGGCGCATCAGTTTTAAAAATATTATGAATATATCTTACTACCTATGAAGCCTTATAAACGGCTTAACTTTTGCAGGTAATATATGTACATATGTATACAAGCGAGCGGACGGCAACGGAAGGAGAAGGGGTTAGGTGCTGGAGTTCTGGATTGTTTTGTTGTATGGATTTGTCAAGTTCAAGTATTAAAGCATCCAAGATAACTGTATCAGTCATCAGTTGAACGGAATAAAATCTGACGTACAGTTGCCTCGGGAAGGGGGGGGGGGCTAAAAGTCACACATCTTATTTGTATACCACGATGACCTGAAAAATGATTTTAAAGTGTTTGTACCAGGATGGTATCTAAATATGCTTACCAACCCTAAAGTTCCCGGGAGACGGCTTCTAGCCAGACTTTCAAGATAGGGTACCTAATTTTGTAAAAAAAAATGAGTAAAAAACAAGCATGCTTATTCTCTTCTCATGAAGGAACATTTTGGTACATCATTGCTACGTGGGTGAATTCAAATAAGGGTCAAATTCCAGGTTCTATTTCCTCCCAAAATTTTTTTGTGATTTTTTGGGCAAACCAAACTTTATTTTGACTATCATTAGGTGTAGACTTAGGAAATATAGCTCGTCGAGCTTCAAAGTTGGGCTTAAACCCGAATTTCCACCGTCAAGTATATCACTTCCCAAAATTTGCTCTAATTTTGCCTGATTTCCCAAATTTTCGTCCCAGAGGTGACATATGATACTTTGAATTGAAAATTGAACACAATTGTCATGAAAGCGTCGTCGAGCACTAAATTAAAGCATAATTGAAAACATGTAACCCTTTCATATCTTGCAGAACCAAAAAAATTGAGGAAAAATCATCCGTCATGAGAGATATCTGGAGCTTATTCTGCTTGTCTTTTAGACAGTTCCGTCTGTTTATCAAAATGCGCACTGTTTTCCTTTAACACGAGAAGAAGCTTTTATTTCTTGGAATATTGCAATACAAAATGGATCAAAAATACCGAATTTTAAAACCTCGAGTGGGCGTGTACCCGCTGAAGTAGAGATAAAGCCAGGAAAAGTTTGAGGACTGACACCGGTCAACGTTTTTTTTTTTTGATTTTCCGAAGATTTGCCAATGGTTTTGGAGTAGATTTTTGGCGCTGATTCTGAAGAACACCTCCATTTAACTGTATCAGTGCGATTTATCCTGGGAAAGTTCGGAATTTTTCCGGAGAAATCGGGATTTTCCTTTAAAATCTAGCTTTTCCAGTAGTAGAGTCAATTTTCCGGAAGAATCTATGCACGATGAAAAAAACCCAGGAGTTTTTCGATTTCGTAGCCTAAGATACATAAGAAACCCTATTGCACCCCTATTAAAATTTCCTTTCTTTTCCTAATACCAAGGTTTTCCGGTCCAGTTTCATTAAAATCAATTAATTAGTCACCGAGATAGTGTTTTAAGCCACAGCCACCATCTTAGATTTTCGAATCTTGGAAATTTGACTAAAATTCGAGTTCCCCATTCAAAAATACCCGCGGGTACCAAGTTTCGCGTAAATCACTTGATTAGGCGCTGAGGTAGCATTTTAGGCCATGTCCGCCATCTTGGATTTTTGAATTTTGAAAATTCGACTAAAAATTCAAGTTCCGCATTGAAAAATACCCCCGGGTACCATATTTCACTTTAATCGACTGATGAGGTGCTAAGATAGCATTTTAGGCCACGTCCGCCATCTTGGATTTTCGAATTTTGATAATTCGACTAAAAATTCGAGTTTCCCATTTCAAAATACCCCCGGGTACCAAGTTTCACTCAAATCTGTCGAAAAGAGCGCCGACAGGGCTTAAACAAACAAGTCTCAGTTGATTAGGCGCTGCGATAGCATTTTAGGCCATGTCCGCCATCTTTGATTTTCGAATTTTCAAAATTTGACTAAAAATTCGAGTTCCCCGTTGAAGAATACCCCTGGGTACCAAGTTTCACCTAAATCGGTAGAAAAGAGCGCCTACAGGGCTTAAACAAGCAAGTCTCAGTTGTAACAGTTTTCCACTCTGTCCCACTATACTAGGACATGGGACAGGATGAAACATATGGGACAGGATGGAACGGGACAAGATGGAACGGGACAGGATGGAATAAGCTGTTTTTTAAGCTTATCTCTAACAGTGAAGACAATTTTGGTGTTTTTTTCACGGAATATTTAGTAGCACATCCTAGAGGATCGGAATAAGAGAAAATTTTCCCCAACCCCCCTTTCGAAAGTATTTTACGAGCTGATATTAGTGTGTGTGTGTATGCTTGACGCCCTGTTACTTATCGTGTATAGAATTGTGTTTGGCATCGTTAATGGCGTTAATCTTGCACAAAAATTTGCGAATTTCGGAATTTTTGCCATCTACGACGTGTGAACTATTCAATCAAAACAAAAAAAGTCGTTTTTGGAAAAACCTCAACGTTACGGCAATCATTTAGAGCTTATTACATCGTTGCCATGTCTCTCCTGACTGTTGCTGACTGTTGCTCGGGACAATGATTCTAGCGCGTGAAAAAGTTATTGATGGAGCAAAAAATAAATTGACATATTTTTTTTCTCAAATTCAAAAGCATTACCTATCATCTCCGATAAAGTTTTCTCAAATAATCACTCTGGTTATAATGCAACGTCGATTTAAAGTCAAGAACCAGGCACGGGGGACACGCAAATTTGGGACAAATATAGGCAATTTGCACATTCAAAGTTCTCCTAAATTTTTATTTCAGTCCAAATAAAGAGGGAAATAGCATGTAATAGTCAACAATAGTGTGGAAAATGAGAAAAAAATTTGATTTGCCCATGTTTCTCAGATTATGACGATTAAAACAGCTCGGGACACCAGATTAGACGCTTATTTGAACTCACCCACGTACAGGCATTTTTTTAAGAGGACCAAAACCACATTCTAAACTTGCTCCAAGAAACGCCAAAAGAATCTTGAGAAAGCCTGATAGGGATAAAAGACCCCCCAAAAACCTTTGTTAGACTGCTTCTTGTATAAGAATAAGGAATATTATTAAGTAATTATTAGCCGCCAATATCCGCTAATCTGCAAAAACGGTCCGTTTGAGTGATATGAAGTCGCGCCTTCTGGGAAAATATCCTGCTCTTATGTCATCAATAAAATCTCGTATCACACGATTTCCCTCAATCTCGGTAATTTTGCAACTGATTACCGATTACCGATTTTGACTGATTTGTTGATATTTTGACAAGAAATTAACCCTCTGATAATCTCTGAAGCTAATTTGATCAGTGTTATACTGTGCGATAAAGTTTAATGTGTGCGTTTTGTGCATTACATAATTCGTAAGTCCTGTCTCTTGAAAATTATCTCCGACATACCTAGAACTCTTCCACGAGCTCTATACAAATAAAAAATTGGTACGAGATTTGCGGGTTAAAAAAGAAGAAACGCGATGAATTTCCTGAGCTACTGATCCTTCTCAGAAGTTCTTTAAAGGATCAGAACCTGCATATGATAAATAAATTTCCTCCTATATTAATATTTTTTTCAATACAAATGTTACCAACTCCACTCCAAACTCCATAGAACAAAATGAAAGATAATATAGATGGATTTTTTTTACTGCTCATTCCATTTTTTATGTCTTGTGGTTAGTATACCAATAATAATCTTCAAGTGTGACTCGATAAAAAGAAGCAATAGTATTCAGATATCTTTTTTTTATTATTCATTTGATATATCGTTCTATTTTGTGAAATATGTATATTTGTTGAATATCTGAAAGAGTATGGGAAGTTCATGAAAATGAATACGTCTGTTGATTGGCTGGAGTAAAAAAGAGAAGAAAAGAACACTGTCGGAATGTTCCGTGTGTATCAGTACCTATGCAATTGCGAGAAACCAAGTAACATGAACGAAAAACGATATTATAGGAAAGTGAAGGAAATCTGGGCACCTTAGTGGCAAGGGATTGTGAAACCCCCCCCCCCCCTCCTCACTCCTCAAGTAATGTCTTTGCGTCAAGTATTGCAGAATTCTTGCTTATGTAAGCAGCTCATGGTCCCATTCGCCGAAAGTAACATGAAAAATAAGCTAGAAATAAGTTATCAAGGATCCCATTTCCAGTAGTCATGAAAAAGTGGGTCAAAATCTATTAAAATCTTTATCTACTTAAATCTTATTTCGCTTTAATATCTTAAAAAATGTAATCCTTTACAAAAATTACGTGAGGAAAAGGTAATTTACTCTGTACTGAGGTCGGAAAAGCTCTGTATTCATGGAAAACAAGACACGTGATGCGCGATGACCGACCCCTCCTATTGACTCGGCGCTCTCACATTGGAGTCTTTCGCCTTTTGCTTGCTTTTATTTATTACTAATATAAAGTAAGGCTTATATTACTACGGAAAAGTATTTAGGCAGTACGGTAAATTTATAATATTTTTAAAACTGCGCATCATTGAAATTAAACAGAGACAAGCGGTTGTTTCGTCGGTAACACCGTACCGCGCCGCCGCGCGCGTCACGGGCAGGCAGCGCAGCGCGCGGATCTGCCTCAGAACGGCCGGCTCCCCGTCCCCCGATGGTTTTTCCCGTTTCACGCCTAAAATATCGATCCCACGGAAAAATTCATAAGAATCAGTTTTGTTCCTAATAAAATTTCCCATCGTTCTGTTGTAAAAAAATTACGCTAACATTAGCCGTTCCGTAGTTATTCAAAATTCAAAATTTGGGGGCCCCCCTACCCTCCCAGGGGGCCCAGATTTTTGGGGTCTGTGTCTGAATCGAATGTCTATAGGGTAGAGATGAATCCCTGAAATTTTCATGCTTTCTTCCAGAAGTGCACGATTGTTATGATATTTTCCACTTATCGGCCCCACTACACTCAATACTGTACATAAAGCACGCAACTTCTCCAAAAATATTACCTTTCACAATTAAAGGTACAAGTTTCTGAACTTTTAACTGGAATACTCTTGCTATAATGTCGTGCCGGTCAGCAGCTTTTTGACCAGGCATCAATTCATTCTTTATCTCTTGCCATGCAGGATTACACGTAAGCGTAATAAAAAGGTCCATTCGACCATAAGAATGGACATAAGCAAAACCATCCTGAGTGTATTCATGCAGATATCTAGGACTGTTCACAAAAGTTGATGGCCAAATTACAGCCTGTCCTAAATTATTTGCATCATCTTTTCCATCATTCATAACTGCATCCTTTAAAGGAATATAACCCTCTGCTCTCAGCTTGACTCGGTGAAGAGAAATGTAGCATAACCGTTCGCTCTCTATTTTGACGTACATATCCACAATGAACTGATGGAAAAGTTGTCGAAATCGTAGGAGCAGATTAAAATCATTTTTTCAAAACAGCATATAACATGCATAAAAATCCATACATGTAACTTTCTTGCTATGGAGTTTTACCTTAGTCGTAGGATTAACTTGAGGAATATTGAAATGGTATCCCTCTTGACCTTCCCAGAAAATTAAAGGGTATTGCATAGCATCATAGTGTTTATGAGTGTCAGGCACTCGGGTAAGTTTGTCGTTCCTAGCATGGACGATAATATCACGAGAACCACATTCATCCCCAGTTATCAAAGCCACAATTTCATTTTTAACTGGTGCATTGTACTCGCGGGCATGTTCACCAATAGGAGTACGATCAGCGTGCATAACAATTTTTTGATGCTCACCCGGCATTTTTTCCAAAGCAGTGTTTTAATGAATGCAAATGGAATATGCACAAAAAATTATCCAAAATTATTCATCAGTGAAACCAAACACAATGAAAACGGTTATCCTCTGTATAAACGAAGATCACCAGAAAATGGAGGTCAAACTGATGTGATTAAAATTCGAGGCTCAAGAGAAATAGGCTTAAAATCATCTTTTTTGTGGAAGAATGCAGTAAAATTATCTTTAACCACTAATATGAGAGTAGTGCTAAAAAACGACCAAGATGCCGAGTCCTTTTCAAATAAATTGTTACAAATCGGACAAGGTGACATCGAAACCGATTCTGATGGAAATAGGTATCGATGTTTCAAAAATATTTTCTAATATGCTCTACTCAGAAGACGAATTGATCGATAAAGTTTATCCAAATCTTATTGAAAATTATCTCATTGATGATTGGCTTAATGGTCGGGCAATTTTAGCTCCGAAGAACATAACTGTAAAGGAAATTAATGACAAAATTTTAGAACGCCTTCCTGCTCATGCATCAACACACTCATCAATAGGGGGGACGCAGTTCAGTCGAAAAAACAAATTTTAAAAATAGAAATTTATCGCATTGGCAATAGCAATAACATCAGCTGTTGCGTCAGGCGCAACCATGGAAACAGAAAATACGCTATGAAATTGCATAAACAACGTATATACCACTGCTGGTCGTACGCCCATACGCCTTTTAGCTTTTTTTACCAATTACCTATCATCGAAGAAAATTCAAAAGAGTGTATCTCCGGCTCTTGGACAACAAAATTTCGTTTGTTTACTGCTTACCTATAAACAAATTGCGGACCGCAAACCACACCTACCCTATGCAAAACAGACGCGTAAAAGAGTAACGCGTGAAAAAATTGCACCAGGGTCTGACGAAACGGTCAGAAGTTAAATCGGTACGCGTTTTGAATTTTCTAATTTATGTATGTAGTGGTGATGATGATGATGATGATGGATGATGGATGATGGATGATGGATGATGGATGATGGATGATGGATGATGGATGATGGATGATGGATGATGGATGATGGATGATGGATGATGGATGATGGATGATGGATAATGGATGATGGATGATGTTGATGATTATCGGATGATTGAAATCAAAAGATCTTACCTTTGTTGGAGAGCTCCATGCATTCGGTGGTGAGTTTTCTCATACTTTTCCTTTGTTGCATGCAAGATTTGCCGTTCACTCATATATTTACAAATAAATGGACTGGACTGCTGAATAGATGTTATTTCCTTGCAAAATATACTGATGAGCTATCATCTAATTATAAGAGGGAGGGCTGTCTAATGTAACTAGTTAAGTGATGAAAAATGTCATCAGGAATTTTTTGCTGACTTTGATGGTGTTTTTTTTACCAGATGAGGTTATCAAAAGTCAATAACATAATATGCGGGGGAATTAAATTCTAAAATTCTCGGTGCGGGGCTTCGAAACAATTTTATTTCATTCCTGCGGGGGATTGCAAAAATTTTGTTTCATTGCCGTGCACTAATTTTTTAGTTGCAGTACCCGACGCACAGCAACAGGCTGAGTTTCACGGGGTAATAATCTGCGGGGCGTTGCTGTGACACCATACCAAGTTTCCCCTATTCTCTCGATGCAATTTTGAAGTTATTCAGAATTTAAAAATGCCAACGAATTGATTTGTTTTTCTCGTGCCGAAATACCCCCGGATACCCACTTTCATGCAAATCCATTGATAAGCAGCCTTAATATTCTCTTATCGCTCCAGGTCGCCATTTTAACCTCCACCATTTTGAAAAAAACAGAATTTTCCGGAAATCTAATGCCAGAATCGTTTTTCTCGTCCCTAAAAACCCTCGGATCCCTGGTTTGGTCCCAATCTGTCAACAAAAATGGATTTGTCAAATTGCCGTTATTTTGAACTTTGACCGGCTGTTATTTTGTCAAAAATCAAGATTTTGTCTTGTGATTTGCGCCAAAAATGTTCTTTCTTTATTCTCTTTCGATTGACGTGTCACAAAGGGGGGGGGGGGTTGCCATTTGAAAAAAAAAGTTGGGGTCCGTAGCCCCTCCTCCGTGGGGGGGGGGGGGGGCTGCGGATGTACTCATTTAGAATTTTGGAAATTGATGCTTCTTACGTACTCTAAGACAACTGTGGTTTTTATTTTATTTGCAGCAGGCTCAATGAGACAACTCATCAACCAAAAGTGAAAATTGTTTCTGTAGATGTACAGGAGATGGCGCCTCACCAATTTTTGGAAATAGTTCAAGGAGATATCACTAAGATAAACACTGTGAAGCAGATCTTAGAGAAGTTCAACGGGAATCGTGTGGATTGCGTAGTATGTGATGGTGCTCCAGATGGTATTTATTCTGAGCTATTCCTTTTTATATTTCTCTACCAATTCTTTATTCTATCATAAAATCAAGCCATTCAACTGTTAGCAGTAACATTTGAGTTTTTCAGAATGGATTACTTTACAAGATACCAACTTAAGCGTTCTAATATCATATTATGTTTCCTCCTCAAAAGTTCATGTAGAACACGATTTCATCTCCAGGCTTGGAACACAAGAATTTTTAGTTTTCTATCTCGAATACTGTTGGATCGTTTTACCTACCTTAGATTGTTCTATGAATGAAATTTGTCAATCTGCTGCCTCCGGTATCCAATTTTAGCATTAGTGACATTTGTGTCAAATTTCTTTAAGTTTAAAATATGCTTTTTGACTTTCGAAACTTTCAACTTTCGAAGCAACACGACAAATTCACTTTGGTTTTTTTTAATGACTTATCTATACTATATGCTCTGAGACCTCCTAAATTTGCATATCTGGTAACGCCTAGTTCCAGCGTTCTACCGGACAGATTTTCATGATTTTTGGGGGGGTCAAGAAAGTAGTTTACCTTGACATAGGAGCACTGTCAAAATTTCAAGTCTCTATCTCAATTCGTTCTAAAGTCACAGGGGCTTCCTAAGACTTTGGTGTCACCCTGTATAATTCTTGTAACAAGTAACCTACAAAATTACGCAGTTGCCTACCTAGATACTTAGAATTTGAGAAGCAGTCATTCTGATGACGTCACCAGAATGATAGTCGGAAGACTGACGTTTTGAGGTAATAAATTTTTCCCGCCGATTTACAGTAACAAAATAAAACGAAACATTCAGGATAGGTCGAGGGTGCATTTGCAGCTGTAAGAAAAATATATTCTATCACATATCCCACCAAACGCTTTGAGGGGAAGCAGTGTCGCCAGAATGACAATGAATGAAAGAGACATTCCAAAAATCAAGAATTTGACCGAGATCATGATTAATACAAGGGATATACGCCGATGTAGCAATCCCCTACCTATCTACTTTTATTGACCTTCCGGCCCTTATTCACGCCCCAATCCGCATTTTATTCTAAGTGGCCAAAAACTAGATCTGAACACGTCACCAGACTGACTGAATATTGAGTTGCGCGCCTCAAGCCTCTAATTAAATTGAATAATATTGTTTTCTGGTGTTTCAATCCATGTTATGTCAAACAATATACAGTCAAGACCAATTAATGTAAAATGAAACAAAGGTCACATGAGGTCCTGGTTCATTCATATAACTATTTGACACATTGACTAATACCCCCCCCCCCCCCCCCCCCCNTCTTGTAGACTGACACTTGCGTTGTGCAAGGTTTACAGTTATTCAAATCTCTATGGAATTTTTTCGTGGTTGGTGTGACCTACCTTTACCCAAAAAATCGAATATTGAAAGGAAAGAAAGATCATAATTAAAAGTTTTGAGCGGCCAGTTACACATCTTTTCCATATCTCCTCCTAATATTTCAAAGCCACCCACATACTATTTTGCTCATGAATTCATAGTTAAGCATGCAAAAAGTGGAGCAAAGTACGTGCAAAAATACAAGTTTCATTAGAAAAGAAAAAACAAAAGTAATTTGCCTGGTCAATCAGTTTTGTTTCACCGCATGGATGTTTCAAAGGTAGTTCACTGTAGGGTTTTAAGTTTTTTCATTCGTACAGGGTTGAAACCACTTGTGAAGTAGCCCTCACTGTTGCCAAGTAGTTTAAGGCAAAACGACACATTGGTCGCTGGTTTTAGAAACCAATTTCAATGAGAGAAGATCTTTATTCCCGCAACGGCAATACCTTGCTCTGTTAAAACATTTTTGACTTTTTGAATCTCCAATTTAATGAGCTGGTCTGAGTCTCATTCAAAAGCTAATTTTTCTGCCTCTTATACAAAACCTTAAAAGAGTCACTTAGCTTAGTTTTGAAGACTGTCTCTGTCGCACTGAACAGCCTTTGTATCTTTACAATTTATTTCCATCAGTTTTAATAATAATGCAAGCCAAAAGACACTACACACAATACCAAGGTGCGGAGTAAATTTGAAGATTTGAAATTTAGCCAAAAGACTGCATTTTTTGGCAGTTACACTTGCATCATCAAGTGAAACAGTTTAGGTGATTAAGGAGCGAGATCCTATTTCCTCGTCCCGCGCCGGTTGGGAAGGCAAGTCACGCCGACTAAGATACATAGGTAAGACACGTCAACTCAGTTCCAAACAAAAGGCTCTGCAGTCCGTATCTTCTATTCAGCGACGGTGCCACTGCCTTGTTTGAAAACACGGGCAATCTTTCAGAAAAATGCACTTTTCAGGCTCGATTTTCTCGAGATCAGTATGTACATAGGCTGTCTCAAAAAAAAAAACTGATGTGGTGTTGGCTTTCTCTCACTCCAACAATACTATTGAAGATATATTGGAGTACCTAGGCACGGTTTGCAGGAGCAAGTAGCTTATTTTATTATCATCATAACTAGCTGTTGTTGATTCATTCAATGAAAAATTGGCGTTTCTCCTGCGAATTTTTGGCAACTAGTAAAGAAACCTCTGGAATTTTCGAGTCATTTTTTGCTTTGGTAGCTCCACACTGTGAACACACAAAAATAACACTGGAAAATTGAGATGAAGTTTGCAATCTTTAATATGCAAGATACCACTAATCTTATGTTGTTCTCATGAAAACTGAACATTTTTCTTCACTTAGTCCAGGCAATTGGGCATCAAATAGGGGCTCTTGGGGAAAATTTCCCGGAAAACTTTTTGATGAGTGATTCCTATGTATTTTTGGACGCTGAATCCGAATTTCGCATTTGTGTAAAGATCTTTTCGCCGCTAAAGCCGCCATTTTGAAAAAATGGCCTAAAAATGGCCTAAAATCTCATTTTTTGAAAATATCTTGCTTAATTTTGATTTTTTGACCAAAGTAGTTATTTTTAAAAATAAACTACATTCAATTCTAAAGAAAAGACGTTCTTATCAATTTTTGATATGACTGAAATTTAAGCCGCCAGAGCGCGCTGAAAAAACCGCCAAAATTCGAATTTCGCGAAACTTACGCTTTTCTCGTGAATAACTTTTCTCGGGGCGACTCTACGTGAAAAATCTTAACTATCAAACTTATAGAGCAACAAATGTGATACTAGGAGTTGCTGTTTTTAATTTTTCTTAATCCTGGACGGCACAGACAAGCTTTTGAAGTTGCACTGAAAACCGAGCATGGACAGGGTTCGCCAGTATCTGCGAAATTACTCTTCTGTGGACTTTTCTAGGGGGCTTATTTACGAGTCAGATTGTAAAATTTCATTGGAAGGTGACCCCTCCCCCCCCCCCGAAGACCCCCTAATATTAAATGTCTCAAATTCCCCCCCCCCTTCCCTCCCCACTTTGGCAATTACCGCTATTGGCGCAATTCATTTTAGTGTGTAAAACGTGAATGCAATGATTTCATCGGTGATATTTCCGAGTAACATTAATAATTCATCCGGTAATTTCTATAAGTTCTCATGAATAATTGCTTCTTATTGTACGGGAATAGGGGAAATGGACGGAAAAAAGCCTACTTTGAAGTAGACGGACTGTATTATTACATTTGCATAGCTTTTTAAAGTTTCAAATTAAAACATTTCAAAGTTTTCTTAATTTTCACAAATCAAGCATTTTTTGAAGAAATTGTATTTTGCATACAAAGTTATAAAATGCAAATCATTCATCTACGTAATTATTTTCTACAGCGTATTGTAGATAGTCCTGAATTTTTCGTGAGATCAGTTTGTGGCACATCTGAATTCTTGCTTTTTTGTTCGGATGGTTCCGGATCAACATGTTGCACTGCTTTGCTTGAGCGCAGTACCCTTGTTGCTGGTTCCTCAATTTCCAGGTCACCTTCGTCATATTCACTTTCTGTTTCATATTTTTGATAAGGCACTGGCGTTGATGGCGTAGATGAGCCAGGTTCACAATCCTAATTGAATTGGGACGTGCGAAAACCGCTAATGTCCATTTTTCCAAGCTTAAGTTTTTTTGAGTTCATATTACTTTTCGGAGTTGGTTGTAACCACAAAAATGGCGTTAAAACTCATCCTGGATTTCCTAGATTTCCTTGATCTCAAAACGAGTCCTTTCATCACTTTTATGGTTGTATCGACTCTTTAAAAATATTATGAACTCCAAAATACTTAAGACTGGAAAAATGGACATTAGCGGTTTTCGCACGTCCCGATTCAATTATCATCTAAGAATGTCATAATTTTCGGTTCATCGATGTCTCCTTCCTCTTCCTCTCCGTGTAGGGTATCTTCCATTTGAAAATTATCGCAGGATTGATTGCACATCTGACAGAGAATGGTGCATCCTAAGCCATTTTTACGGCACCCACAAGTCTTGCTGCAACCTTTCTTGCACTTGCAGGCAATTAGCTTTAAAATATTTTCGGGAGCTGGTGAATCCAAAGTTGTTAAAGGCGTTAGCCCATTTTTGGTGGCTTTCCAGCCCCAATTGCAAGGATCCTTTTTCTCGCCGTGCCACTCCTGGACCTGCAAATAAGTTCGGAATGCATGCTCTGCTGCAGCGTCCTCAGTTGGTGGCAAAGACCCAAGGTTCTGTTTATTTTGAAATGAAGATTTTATAAAGCAGTCGTATCTGTACATATTAAGAGAAACATTTAACATCAACCTTTAAGGCTAGGACCTCCTTCGAATTCGAAAATTTAAAAAATAAGAAACACCCTAGCCTACGTGGAAGGCAATCTCAGATAAGCAAAGCTTCAGCTTCAACTTCTTTTAAGCTAATCAAACTTTGACAGTATTAATGAGATTTTTAGCAGATTAGTCTTATTTTGCATCTAATAAGTTGAAAATTTCATTTCCAGTGTTACTTTGTTTTAAGAACTGGAGAAAGGAAAATGACTCAAACATTCCAGAGAAGTTTCTTTATTTTACACGTTGTCGAAAAATGGTGCTAGACAAGAGAAATGTTTACCAAATGAACTCTACTAGGGCTCGATAGAAAGTCAATGAAGTAAGCTACAGGACCCTACCAACTATCCAACCTAATATCTTAAATTCAAACTAATCTAATATATTTGATAGTTTGCTCAGAGCAGGCGTACTCTCAGTTTTGTGGACAGTCATTATCAGTGTTCGAAACTCCACTTTGAGTTTCAGGAGCCATCATGCTTGATTTTTAGGGGCCCTTGAAGATTTTTTAGGGGCCAAATTCACTTTTTGCCTATATATCACAGCGCATTTAGTGAAAAGTTAGACGCAAGATGTTTTAGTTTCAGAACTAGTAGCTGTAACTTGGGTGAAATTTCGAAAAATCACCAGATTTTTTTTGGGGGGGGGGGGGGGGGGGGGGTAATTTTTTAGGGGCCAAGTTGGCGCAGAACCTTCATTTTTTAAGCGCCACGACCGATTTCTTAGGCGCATTTGGCGCGTTGGCGGCTGTGAGTTTCGAGCACTGATCATTGTAGGAAGTTTAATTATAAATGCTCATCGTGCACAATAGGTCGTAAAGAACATCTTATCAAAAATATCTTGAAATTTTCTCTCCGCGCCGAATTTCTTGGCATTGTGTGCGGTGTCCCATTAGACACTTGGTGGCAAGATGTTTGTTGAGTTTCCTTCACTCACCTAATGATGTTACTCATGAACTTTTTTCTTGTGGTATGATTTTTTATTTTCAGTGACTGGTAACAATGACATGGACCTTTGTCTTCAAGAACATCTATTGAGTGCTGCATATGCCATCACTTGCTGTATTTTAAAAGCGGGAGGATCCTTTGTAGCAAAAATTTTCAGAGGGAAAAACAACGCAGTCACTCTCAATTTATTACGCACCCATTTTTCGAAAGTATTGGTTGCCAAGCCTAGATGCTCCCGTAATTCAAGCATAGGTAATGAAGTCATGATTTTAAGTGGAACTAAATGGCACAAGAATGCATTTTTTTTATGTAAGAGACCCAGCCGGATTTTTTATCAAAGAGGAATGCTATGTAGAAAAGGGACTTATTCAAAATATAAGTTTTACAAAATATAGATATTAAAGAGCTCTTGGTTATACTTTTTCATATTATGGAGATATTTTTAATTATTATCATGGGAACGGAGTTCCCCATGATATTGCAATCGTTCCGCTGCTACGGCTATGTAATTCCTGATGTCTCTGTGACCTTGAGCAAAATGCCCAGTGCCCGGTTTTTGGTTTATTTTCGGATGTATCGAAAACCGTTGTGTATTTTAGCCAATCATATCTCTACGTCAAATTGTGTAGAATTCTAGAATTCGCTTTCCGCGAGTTAGTTTCACCTTGAGATGTCGTGTCTGACTGGTAAATCTGCACAGAACCACCGAAAAACGAATTTAGGCAAATTCTTTTTTTTTGGGAGGTTCTGATTAGTTATTTTTCGCCATCAATTGTCTGTTCGTTGGTGCGAACAATCGCCTTCCTCGTTGCTCTTGAGAAGCCGCCTTTATCCCACTTCAAATTTTAAAAATAAAAATAAAGAAATAATAACCATTGTACAAGGTGAAAAATTGCTCTGGAGAACTCGTTATGGACAAAGGAGCCAAAATCAGAACTCGATTGATTGATTTAATTCATGAATACGCAAATATTGCCTCAGCCCAACTGCCGCGATCGCGAATGCATGCTGGGATGAACCTCGAGACACATGAAAGCACGTGTTAATTATAGCTCATAGAGAATTGCGCTCACTCCGTTCTCTCATACCATGGCAGCGGCACGGAAGCGTCAAGGACAACTCTGTGAAGCCCCCATCGTCCGAGTCTGTTAATTGCTCTTTTTATTGCCGATCCTCTGAAGAGGCGTGAAAGCTCAGTTGTCTACGCCACCACACGCTAACATTCGTTCGTGGGAGAAGGGCGGTCGGGGGTTCGATTCCCGATGATGAGAGATAATTTTTACTGGTTGTATTGAATGTTTCAGACCAATCATCAAAAAACAATTAGTACTAGATGATAAATGTACGAACATTTTCTCTAGAGTTAATATGTCAAACAAAAATACTGGAATATACCTCCTTCATATAATCAGCCACATGTTCACCCAAATTAATGATGTTATTTTCTTTTTTGCATTCAATGTTCATAAGTTTAGCAAAAAGTACCTATTGATACAAATAGAAAGACATGAAAATAGTATGTCTAACTTTTTTTTCTTTCTTTCTTTTTTTTCAATAAAACAAATTGACTTGGACTAGGAATCATTGTATCTCTGAAGACAAAAGTTAAGTTTTTTGAAACAGAAATACTAAAATATTCATCCTTCATACAATCAGGGAGATGTTATCCCAAATATTGATGTATATTTTCTCTGTTCGCCCAAATTAATGATGGTATTTTCTTTTTTAAATAAAATTAATTTACATTCCGTGTTCCTAAAGCAATATTTTCTCCAAAATTTAGCAAAAAATAACAATTTATACCTGCGGAAAAAAAAAAATGACACGAAAGTAGTGTAGTACACATCCAACATTTCAGTTATTCGGCACGCTTTTCCTAACATCTTCATGTTGGATCTATCATCTTGTCTTTCTTCCTTTAAAAAAAACAAGACAAAAAGTCACACTGTCATCAAGAGATTGATTCATAAAATAACACGTCGTAGTTATGTTTTGTGATTTTCCTCCCTTTGGTAATTTTTGTTTTTATCATTTGAAAGTTCAACTTTGATCAGCATGTATGAAATATCTAAGATGAAAGAGCCTTATGCAAAAACGGCCAAATCCCCCGTAGCTCCGATTGCTTCCATTTTTTAGTATGCTATTTTACCATGACAAAGGGCCCCGTTTCTGATAATTTCAAGTCCAAAAAAATTTTTCCCGCGCTTTGGAGGCGTTGCCAAGTTGCAACATTAAAAATTCGATAACTTTTGAACCAATTGAGTTATTGATCTGCGGTTTGCGCTTAAATTCTTTAAAAGTTATGAACTTTTGTTTTATGTATGGTTTTTGGATGGAACGTAACATTAAACTTATGATTCACCTCTTTTTTGGATTTTTGATCCGTCGTATTTCACATGTTCGTAAATACCCAAAAAGGCCATTTTTTGATTTTCAAAAAAATGTGTCCAATCGATTCCTCGTCTGATTCCGCATCTATCGATATGTCATACTTGGCGGGGAAACGATTGGTATAGAAGTTATGACCATTTTTATACGCGGGTTTCGACGCGCCGTACCCATTACGCACCGTTACAGCCGTCCTGGGCTCCTCGCCGCGTGGCCTAGCGACTGGTTCATCGACTTTACGCAACTTTTTAGTTTTAACTGACTTACTCAAGAGATAATTTGTAATAATAAAGTTTTTGTGCCCAGTGATTTGTTGTTCTAACCCATAGTGAATAGCCAGTTCCAAGTGTCAGAGACCATCCAGGCACACAAATAATTTAGAATAAGTAGAAAATGGAATGTTGATTTCAGTCAAGTGTTTTATGGTTGACAAAAGTTTAAAGACGATTATTTCCAGTGTTTGAAATTCAAACGAAATGGTATAAAATAATCCTACAAAAAAAAGGTGAAACATAGGATAAAGTACCTCAAGAGTAAGCTAACTAAAACAGGTGAAAATAAAACTATGCTAGTTTTTTTAATATGATTTAAATATGGTAAGGCATTGAAAGTAAACGTCACCTATTGAGATGGATTCCCACATTCGTCGTCAGAATCATCCTTGGATGTGTCCTCTAAGAGAGGTTTGTTCTGGTGATAGTTCCAATTCAAATATTCTGCCGGTGCCTTGAATCCTGCATGACGGCATACCTAGGTACCATATGATGACAATCGTGCCCAGTGATGCACAGTGCCCAATTTTTCTGGCTCCATTTATGCACGCACATAGCAGGTGGCCACTGATGACATTGTTCCTTTATTAAGATCAATTAATATAAACACATTGTAGATCTTTAGTGATTTGTGTCTTGTCAATAACCTACATTTCAAAAAAACTGGATCAACAACATGTATTCCGTGATCCAAAAAGTTTGGTTGGTAGCTGTCCTTGCTTTGATTTTCATATTTGCCGCAAGCAAAATGATCTGCTGTGTAAGATCTTGCGAGATGTAACTGGTATGATCAACAAAATTGTTTAATATCTTCCGCAGTCCACAGCTGAAGTTGCTAAAAGTCGGTCTCCTCCAATCTTCTAAAGTTTTTACTTTTTCGAACTAGGCCCTTAGTTTCCACGATTTTTTGCATCAGATTTGGCTCGTTAATTTTGCCAACATTTCCAATGCCACAGTTTCACTGTCCTCGTCACTGTAATTCCTACGAAAAAAAGCGTCGTGTATGGCGGCTGTTATTCATAGATCCGTAAACAAAGATTTCCTTGTAAGATTATTTTATACCATTTCGTTTGAATTTCAAACATTGGAAATAATCGTCTTTAAACTTTTGTCAACCATAAAACACTTGACTGAAATTAACGAATTTTCTACTTATTCTAAATTATTTGTGTGCCTGGATGGTCTCTGACACTTGGAACTGGCTATTCACTATGGGTTAGAACAACAAATCACTGGGCACAAAAACTTTATTATTACAAATTATCTCTTGAGTAAGTCAGTTAAAACTAAAAAGTTGCGTAAAGTCGATGAACCAGTCGCTAGGCCACGCGGCGAGGAGCCCAGGACGGCTGTAACGGTGCGTAATGGGTACGGCGCGTCGAAACCCGCGTATAAAAATGGTCATAACTTCTATACCAATCGTTTCCCCGCCAAGTATAACATATCGATAGATGCGGAATCAGACGAGGAATCGATTGGACACATTTTTTTGAAAATCAAAAAATGGCCTTTTTGGGTATTTACGAACATGTGAAATACGACGGATCAAAAATCCAAAAAAGAGGTGAATCATAAGTTTAATGTTACGTTCCATCCAAAAACCATACATAAAACAAAAGTTCATAACTTTTAAAGAATTTAAGCGCAAACCGCAGATCAATAACTCAATTGGTTCAAAAGTTATCGAATTTTTAATGTTGCAACTTGGCAACGCCTCCAAAGCGCGGGAAAAATTTTTTTGGACTTGAAATTATCAGAAACGGGGCCCTTTGTCATGGTAAAATAGCATACTAAAAAATGGAAGCAATCGGAGCTACGGGGGATTTGGCCGTTTTTGCATAAGGCTCTTTTTTGGTTGGACTTTACATCACAAAATAGACCCTTCAATTCTGCAGATACCACAAGGACATCCAACAAGCACGAATAGTTGTATGAACTCGGCGTTATGAAGGGGCGTTATTTAGCTACTTTAAATGAAAAGTGTCCAAGTTTTGTGGCCACGTTTGGACAGTGGGTAAGAATGAGAGATAAACAAGCAAAAACCAAAGAATGAAAACAGCGCATTACTTTACATCCTTTGGCTCATAAAGGAGATAAAGAAGAAAAAGTTGGAAGCAAATGACACAGGGCATCGCTGCATTGACTCGAGGAAAAGTAGCTCAGATTAAAAAGTTTACACATATAATTACAACTTATGACACAACGCCATGCGGTCGGATGCATGTTTGTTGACACAAACATGCATCCGAAAAAATTGAATACGAAAAATGAAAAAGGAAAGAAAGAAAGTCTAGAAAATTCAAATACTTTATGATAGCCGTTCAGTATTTATTCAAAATTCAAAATTTTGGGGGCCCCCTGCCCCCCAGGGGACTCAGATTTTTGGGGTCTGTATCTAAATCGAATGCCCATAGGGTAGAGATGAATTCCTGAAATTTGCATGCTTTCTTCCAGAAGTGCACGATTGTTACACTTATCGGCCCCACTGTAATGGGGAACTCTGGGATAAATCCACGATGGGGGCAAGATCGCCGATTTTGAATAACCTCCTTTGAAATTCAGATAATTTAAATTATCTCTAACCTAGAGCTCTTTGATATCTATAATTTTAAGGGTTCTTTTTTTCTTCTTCTCCTTCTTTTTAGAAAAAAAAAAATGAAAAATCTGCATCAATCATAGTCTCTGAAACCTTTTGACGAATGAAGCATCTGGTTCTGCCATTTTAAAATGCAGAGGGAACCATCCTGATTTCCGATTACAATTTGGTCCCTTCATTTCGAATTATAGAGCCAGTTCACTAAATACGTTCGATCCACACCCTTTCCTGTGTAACAATCTATTGTATCATTTGACTGTCATAATATTACTACATACTTATTTTCAGTGAAGAATCATTTGGGAGGGACAAGTGGATTTTTTGTGCTAACCCTCAACTCATTGTTTGTAAAACATTTTAGAGAGTATCTAATCAAGATAAGAGAGCAATATAGTCTTCCCATGCAGAGGCTCCTCTAAAAAAAACAGGGAACAAGAAAAAAATATTTTTGTCCGATCTCAACCACAGCACATCTATTTAATATCCCTGGAATATCTATGTACCAATATTATTTGAAAGAATGGTGGAAAGGTACTGGGGCCATATTATTCAAACGGGAAAAGAAAGCCGAGAAAAAAGTAAAACTAGAACTTTACTAATTAAATAAACTCTAATGAATTTCAGTGCAACGACTGAGGGGGAGGATGTTTAGCTCAGGCAATTGCATCGGAGCACTTGCTAGGCACTTACTCTAATATTTGTTCCTCTCAGTTGTGTTTTACCTTCAGAACAGTGTGAATTCAGCTTCATTTTATCACCCTTTTAAACAACCGAGCTATTTTATGTAATTTCTGACTACGTTCTGTTAAGAGAAAACCAACGAGTTTTCTTTAAACATAATGAAACATAAGCAGAAATGAACAAAGTTGTAATCAGAGGTACGCTTTTTCCGGCTGCACTCATCGTAATATTATGTGTTATAGTCTAAGAGCCAGCTGCATTATTGGCGCGACTACTCCGGCACGCTTGAAACTTTGCAGAGACGTAGTTCTGACCTCCCTAGTAACGGATTGGGCAATATCAGACCTCAAAAGTGGTGCGTCTGGCCGCTGCGCCCCCCGAAAAACGGAAAAAAGCGTGCGATGAAATCGCACGGTAGAGCCACTTTTCGTCTCCTGAAAAGTGCTTTGACGTTGTTTCCTATCCTTTATATTGTACGCACGTATAGTTTGGGTGTATATAAACTTCGCATTAGTCCGGCAGACGATTTCGAGTTCATACGGCTGATCGGCAGACCCCAAAAATGGCTCTTCCATGCAAAAAAATCGAAAGAAAGAGCCACTTTTTGGCTCCTGAAAAGTGCTTTAATGTTCTTTCTGAACCTTCACGTTGTATATACGTATAGTATGGATACATGTCAGCTTAGTTTTAGCCCGGCAGACGATTTCAAGTTCATGCGGCCAATCGCCAGGCCCCAAAAATGCGATAAAATCGAACGGAAGAGCCACTTTTTGGCTCCTGAAAAGTACATATACTTTAACGCTCTTCCCTAACCTTTATATTGTACAACCGTATATGTAGTATGGGTACATGTGACCTTAGTTCTAGCGTGAGAGGCGATTTCCAGTTCATGTGGCCGATCGGCAGACCTCGAAATTTCCAGATCATTATTAATGAGATTTTCTTGATGGGATACTAGAGAAAGAAAAAGAAAAAAAATTGTTCCTTCGTTTCCTTGTTTGCTCCTAGTGGGCAATATGACCACTTCACACCATTAAAAAAATAAAACCTATAACAAAATTATCAACCTCAATTCAAAGGTATTCAGAACCCAGTAACTTAAACCATTAGACTACTGCACTGAGGATGTGCACAGCACGGTTTTCAGTTTTATCAAGAAGGTTTCAATCTGGTTTTTCCTTGTCACAAACTTCGTTCATTAGCCTATGTCTATCTTCTAGCAGAACTATTTACATTTCTTTCTTGGTGCTGAATTTTCGAGTCCATCTCGAAAGATAAAAATCAAAACATTGGACGGAAATTGTCAATGCACATCTCTATTACCGTTGTCATGGGTATGTTTGCGGGTGCTGTTTCGATTTTAAGTGCAAGGCCCTCAGTTTACCTAATGATCCCGAGGCACTACCATGCCGATTACGTGCTTTATTTGTGCCAATGAGGTCTCAAAGAAAAGTGCCGTTGTGATCCCGCTGAAGTTAAAGACTTATGAAAAATGTGAAATTGTGTTAAGCGCTAGAAAAGCACACGGTCTTAAATACGGGAATATAACCTCGCCGAAGTCTTTTTCCGAATACGGTTATCATGCATCTTGTTATAAAGACTTCACCGCCTTAAAGAAGAAGTTCTTGCCTGGGTCATCAATTCCTGAAACTTCGAATCTCATCATTTCAGAGGAGGGTCCGGATGCATCAGGTACTTCAACAATTCCCCCCCCCCTCCCGCGGTTAACTGTCTTTTTGCGGGAGGGGCGGCCAGTTCACTCGAGGCGGAAGTAGGTACCTTTTTGAAGGTAACTCAGCTACCTGACGGAGCCCAGACTATTTGGGGGGGGGGGACGGCACTCCCCCCCGCCGCCGCACCNGCCGCACCCCCTCCTTTCCGTGGAAGAATGATAGTTTTGTTTAGAACGGAAAGGAGGGGGTGCGGCGGCGGGGGGTGGAGTGCCGTCCCCCCAAAATAGTCTGGGCTCCGTCAGGTAGCTGAGTTACCTTCAAAAAGGTACCTACTTCCACCTCGAGTGAACTGGCCGCCTCTCCCGCAAAAAAGACAGTTAACCGCGGGAGGGGGGGGGCTAAAATCACTCTAGGCGCAGACAATGGGGTTTTTGACGATTCTTTCCTGAAAGTACCTGCAATGCTGAGAATTTTGCCGCCTCGTCTGCCTTTCTGCACCTTTCTGACCCTGACTTACGATTTTTTGAAAACTGGCCTATTTTGAACTTTGACCGAGAATAACTCGAGAACGAAAAGTCGTAGCGACCTACGGTTCGCGCCAGAAAGTTTCTTTTTTTATTACCTTTCCAACGATGTATCACAAGAGGGGGTTACCATTTGAAAATTTCGAGTTAGTGTGCGCCCCTCGCGGGGGGGAGGGGGGCCAACATTTTGGATGTGCCAAAAAGTAGCCATTATTGATCTAGGAGCATCCCCAAAATTTCGTTTCGATACAAGCATGCGTTCAAAAGTTAGAGGGGGGATCGGGGACTTTTCGCTCACCCTGTATACCCAAACTATACGTGCGTACAATATAAAGGATAGGAAACAACGTCAAAGCACTTTTCAGGAGACGAAAAGTGGCTCTACCGTGCGATTTCATCGCACGATTTTTTCCATTTTTCGGGGGGCGCAGCGGCCAGACACACCACTTTTGAGGTCTGATATTGCCCAATCCGTTACTACGGAGAGGTACGAACTACGTCTCTGCTAAGTTTCAAGCGTGCCAGAGTAGTCGCACCAAAAATGCAGCTGGCTCTTGCTCTTAGACTATTAGGGTGGTTGTCATGGATCAACATCACTTGTACCCCAGATGCTAACTTTTTCATTCGTACGGTACTTTGCTTCACCGTCAAAATTTGTATTTTTACCCATTAAAACATTCCCACCTATCGTGACACTGAGGCTCCTCTATTTAAATCAAAGCTGTAGTATTTACTCATATTCAGCTTGTATCCAGTAGTTTTGTCCAAAATTCCCAAGAGTTTTGGAATGACCCTCCCATGTAAACTCATGTTATTGTTTCCTTTTACAGAAGCATTTGTCGTATGCGCAGACTTCCAACCTCGCCTCAGTGAAGGTGCATCAGTAGGTAGCTTTCCTTTGCGAGACTTAGATATGAAATTTTATTCATCCTTGTCAGCTAGACAGAAGACTCCTTTTGTGGCATGTGGGAAAGAGATGTATGATTCAGACAGGACCTATTCCAAACAGGTGGGTAATGAGTGAAGAACCCCTGCTCTTTTTTATCACCTTTTCTGCACCCCTGCCGTAGGAAAGTTTTCTTTTGCACGAAATCCCAGGATTCCACTCAGGTGCAAGGTAGGGTATTTCAAATTGGGTATATTCACTTTCAAGGAGTTATGCCAAGAGATAAAAAATGTGTAAAGAGGCACATGAAAAAAGGTCTTTGTGTAATTTTTCAATTTCAAGACTCAGGTGGATGAAAGTAGTGCAAGAGGAGGGGAATGTACCCTAGAAGTTTTGCACAACCCTACCAGAAAGTGCATGAAAGAGACTATGAAAGTTCTGGAAAATATCAATCCATTTGTAGAAGGTTACATCTACATATGGTCCTTGATCTACTCCATCTTGATCAAGTGCTGCGTACAGAAAAACAGCGACTTCGACAGCTTTTGTGGGGGAACATGATGAGATTTAGCGTTCAGATCACTCATCGGCGGATGAATGAACACCCGAACATGATGAACAATGCTCTGAGTGCATTGCAGAACCTTGTTACCCAAAGATTTCTATCTGTCAATTAGTATTCGTCATTAGTAACTGTATGACGAAAATTGAGCTCTACTGTCATTGTTGTCACAATTTTAGGTGCATTTTTCTTACATTACCCAGAAAATATCGGACGTCTCAAGGACGTAGATATCTACGTTTCCCATGAAACGTTCCAGAAACGTTCCGATTTCTACGTTGGAATCCACGTTGTCCAATGTATAGTGCAAAAATGTTTCTCTGTTGATGTTGCCGGGACGTAGAACTCTACGTAGTTCAAAATACGTCGCACTAGAAAAGGCAGCACATGCCAGGAACGCCCGCCAGGTGGAGCTGCATTTCGCGGCGCTGATGGCTCAAAAGTCTACTGCGCATGTGCAGCCCATGTCAGCACCATCCAAGTTCCTGGAATCAGCCTGATATGGGGAGGTTGTGACTGTTCTAATGTGTCCACGGAGTGATGTTAACTTGATCTCAGCGAACCAGGGTTTTTTAGCAGTTTAAAGTCGTGCGTGAAGTGATGCTTTCCTCAGTGTTTTGTGTATCTATGAAACCACAAAAAACCCTTAAAAAGGGTAAAAATTCCGCCAAGCCTATGAGATCTTATCACATAATTAGTAGGTATTTATCTTAACAAATTCTTAAAAAGGAGAAGGGGGGGATAGTAATCTCTTGAAAATTACAGAAGGAGGAAAGGAAAGCAACTCCGATTCCGTTTTCCATTTCAAACCTCAAAATGTCTGATATCATTTGAGGTCAAGATTTTTTAAGTATAGGTACGCCACAGAACTAGAACGAGCAAACGGGAAATTAATTCTGCTTAGAATCCCCTTCAGTTAGTCTCGGACGCAACCAGCTTACCTTTGAAGCTAGTTTGGTTGCCTGGGTCACTAATACAAGGAAAGATAATTGGATTTGCTTCCTTCCAGAAGATGGCGAGGGATAAAATGAGCAGTTCTTTTTTCAGTCTCAAACCTCAAAATATTTGATGTCTTTTGAAGTCAAGATTTTTTACCACCTCCTCATTTCACTTTCATTTTCGTTTTGCATTTTAGGAAACAAATTCCACTCTTATACATCATTGAACTTTCTTTAATTTCTCGCTAATTATTCCCCTTCATTTCAGGTAGCCGCAACTTTTCTTACCTACAATAGCTATGTAAGGAACCATTGTTTGTATAATACTTACGAGACCTTCCTCGTTTAGATCAAGAATAGAATAAATGTTTTCAATTCAGACTCTGGCACACTCTTTGAAAATTAAAAAAAGAAGTCAGGTAGATGAAGGTAGAATTTTTAAAAAGAGCCAAAAAAAATTGGCTAAAAAATAAAAAATTCTGGCGAGACGGTCCCGATACTCTTGTGGGTGTGGTATGGCTGAAAGGGTAGTGCCAATAATAAGGGTAGTAGAGCGAGGTTCAAAATTGCCGAAAAATGAAGATGCATCTTTTTACCAGTTCGAGTCGATTTTTCAAACTTCCTTTTCACCACTCGCCCACCTAGGTCCTTCAAAATTCAGGATGGCTAATTATTACTGTGAGCGCCAGGCATAAGAATCATAAAGTCGACGGTCAGCTCCTTCATTTCAAGTGAACGAATAAATTTCTAAATAAGTCCTCGGGATCTGCCACGAAACGAATTTCATAAGCTTAAAGTGCTAGCTGGAATTTAAGAGGAGTTTTTTTGAGCATTCGATTAATCCTTCCATTGTTGTTCTACTTGCAATGCTTGAGGCTATACCTTGATGTATAAAAGAAGATGGGCTGCAGCTGACACTCAAATGATATGTATCGGGACCGTCTCGCCAGAATTTTTTATTTTTTAGCTAATTTTTTTTTGGCTCTTTTTAAAAATTCTACCTTCATCTACCTGACTTCTTTTTTTAATTTTCAAAGAGTGTGCCAGAATCTGAATTGAAAACATTTATTCTATTCTTGATCTAAACGAGGAAGGTCTCGTAAGTATTATACAAACAATGGTTCCTTACATAGCTATTGTAGGTAAGAAAAGTTGCGGCTACCTGAAATGAAGGGGAATAATTAGCGAGAAATTAAAGAAAGTTCAATGATGTATAAGAGTGGAATTTGTTTCCTAAAATGCAAAACGAAAATGGAAGTGAAATGAGGAGATGGTAAAAAATCTTGACTTCAAAAGACATCAAATATTTTGAGGTTTGAGACTGAAAAAAGAACTGCTCATTTTATCCCTCGCCATCTTCTGGAAGGAAGCAAATCCAATTATCTTTCCTTGTACTAGTGACCCAGGCAACCAAACTAGCTTCAAAGGTAAGCTGGTTGCGTCCGAGACTAACTGAAGGGGATTCTAAGCAGAATTAATTTCCCGTTTGCTCGTTCTAGTTCTGTGGCGTACCTATACTTAAAAAATCTTGACCTCAAATGATATCAGACATTTTGAGGTTTGAAATGGAAAACAGAATTGGAGTTGCTTTCCTTTCCTCCTTCTGTAATTTTCAAGAGATTACTATCCCCCCCTTCTCCTTTTTAAAATTTGTTAAAATAAATATCTACTAATTTTGTGATAAGATCTCATAAGCTTGGCGGAATTTTTACCCTTTTTGAGGGTTTTTTGTGGTTATATCAGTTATTTTTGGTTTTTCTGCACATGCTGAGACCATTAGACGCTTAATAAAAGGGAGGAAAATGTTAAGCTATGAATATTGGTGGGTAAGGATTCATTACAAACAAAGTTCCTTCTTGATGTTATGCTTCCCCTGGAGATGAAAAATATTTCTATCCAAATTTTAAAGACAGGGAGAACAAAATTGAATACAGGCACTCACAATAATATACTGCTAGCATTTATAATGCCTGCATTTACCCTCTTTAAATGGAGTTATGAGGTGAAGCTTAAACTAAGGAAATGACTTGAAAAACTATGTTAGGTAAAAAAAAAAAAAAAAAAAAAAAAAAAAAAAAAAGGCAACTTTGGTTTGAATGACATTTACCTAATCAGAGTATCCAAAATTTTACAGTTGGTTACCTTTGAATAACCTCTGCTTGATTCCGCACAGAATAATTCCAACAGGGATCAGTTAATATTTTTTGAAAGATGTGCTCCAATTTATTTTCAAATTAAAAAAATTCCTTTTGAAATCAAACTGATTTTCTCAAGAAATTTAGAGGAGGTAAATCTCTCAAACAAAATAAAATAAAATAGCCTTAGCAAATAATTTGCAAGAAATTTTTTTTCCTGCACATTATATGTGTTGGAGCAGTTACCTACCTAATTTTAATTGTAGGTTGTCATGAATGTCAAAGGCTAGCAGTCATGTGAATTCTTGGATGTACATATTGACAAATGAAGTCATTGAAAGTCAATGATATCAGTAAGCTTTGAAAGGCTAAAAAATACTTCAAAGATGAGCATAAGAAAATTCTAATGTCAGAGTCCTTATTTATTCAAAGTGAAATAGTTTACTTAAACGATGTACTTAAAATTTCTGAAAAGACACTTATGAACTACTTCCACTGACTTATCTACTTTTCTAATGAGAAACAGAAAGCCCTTAGTTATTTTGAAATTGGAAACATTCCTGAAGAATCTGGCCGCAAAAATTTTATTGTTAAAAGAGCAGGTAATGTGTAATGAGTTAGTGAACACATTTTTATTACGAACATCTGATTACCCAGAGTATTGTGAGCACAAAAATCTTTGATCGTAAAGTTAGGCAAGTGAAGTGTAAACTACCAAAATACTCATATGAGCAACTAAGCTGAAAGGCCCATAGGTAAATTCCCCCTCCAATCCATAAAGATACCTATAGAAAAAGAAGCGAGCAATTTCATTCGCTGAACTCTTAAATTTGAAGTGCATCCTTAAGTAATACCGCCTTGGGCAGTTAAAAATAAACTTTATGCTAATAAACCTCCTTGGTCCCACCTACAGAATGTAGCTACCAAGAGAAAATCTGGAGATAGGTATGCGTTTCCATAGTATATATAGGTATGGGCACCATCGAGGATGTCTGGGCACCGTCGGCGATGCTTGACATCCCTACGTTGCCCGTAACATATGAACCATTCGCGCGCTGAGCTCTGATGTGTTTACATTTCAATTACTCACTCAGCAGCATATTAAATCAAAGTGAGTAAGAATAGAGATCTTAGCAGTGTATAGTATAGAGTATCACTTAAATTCCTTCCGTTCAGTGCAAATACATTGCCCCATCCGCTATTTGCTTCGAGACTCAATAGCTATAGTAGCAATGTCCGCGGAGATCGTCTTTGCTTATAATATTCTACGGGAGCAAGGAAAGACAAGGAAACTTGAAAATTGCAATGCAAATTTCTTAAATGAAGCTTTGTAACTAGCATGTATTTATCAACATACACATTCTCTGAAACTATAGTATGGTTTGAGCACTATAGTGATAATTTGCATCACAATCACAACACACAATTAGAGTGTTCTAAAGGGTTTGAAGATAGAGTAGCCAGCAGCCTGATTGTTGAAATTTTTTG